AAGCTACTATTAACATTTATGTATATTTGTATGTGTATGGGGCGGGGGGCTGCGAGTTTCAGTTAGTAATACCAGGAAGGGGGTTGCTGAGCCCTGATAGGTGCATGTTAGGAAGCTCCAACCTCACAAGTGATTGTGCAGGTGGAGGTGGCTGTGTGCATGCTCTGTAGTGGCCCAGACCCTTGTTGTTTTCAGGATTCATTCAGTTCAGAGGTTCTACTAAGTGTCTGTTGGTATCTCCTGGTAGTTTTGATTTGAATTTCCCTAATTATAAGTTTCCCTAAATAATTAATTATGTTGAACATTTTTATGTTTAAAGATGTAACACTGGAATGAATGAGCACTGTTCTGGATATCAAGTATAAAATAAACCTAATCTGCCTCTGAAAAACTAAACCTTCAGCTTACTGTGTAGCAAGGAGTCAGCCTAGTCAGAACTCAGGGGAGTGACACTGTCCTTAATTTGTGTAACACTGAGCATTTTATGACACCCCTATATCTTTTCTGAAGTGTCTGCTTCCTATTAAAAAAAAGTAATTTTTTTTTATTATTGTTTGAGGGTTCTTCATGTATTCTGAATATAAGTCTTCAATCTGAAATATATTCTGTCAGTCCTTTGTGTGACTTTTTATTCTTGTATCAGTGTCTGAAAGTTAATTTTGATACAGATAAAAGTTTTCAATTTATTTTTCTTTTGTGGATCCTACTTTTGGGGTAGGGTCTAAAAACTGTTTACCTAACTCAAAATCACAAAAAGATTTTCCTAGGTGCTTTATAAAAGTTCAACACTGAAGCCTGTGATCCATTTTGAGCTTATTTTTGTATGAAGGGTGAGACATGGATCCAGGTTCATCTTTTTTTGCATCTGGACATCCAGTTATCATCATTTGTTCAGCATCATTTGTGGAAAAAACTTCTCCTTACTCACTTGACTACCTTTGCAACTTCGTATAACATTAGCTTCCTGTGTTCATGCTGACCTGTTTTTACATCTCTGTGTGTGTCTGTAGCAAATACCAGGCTGTCTTGATTACACTAGCTTTATCGTAAACCTCAAAAATGGGTAGTATACATTCGTCAACTTTGGTCCTCTTTCGCAATAATTCGTATCATTTTAGATTTTCATGATTGCTTGTTGGAAGCAGAATATCTTATGGAAACGTTCTTGTACCTGCAGGTGAGCCCCTAGTGTTTTCCTGTGGGGCCTTCAGTGTGGGAAGGAAGGGGGAGGTAGGCGATCTGAGGGTTGGTATGGTTGCCGGCTGCCCCCTCTGGTGATGCCTTGTGTTTGGCGTGGGGTGGATTTCCAGGTGGTTTTACTCCTTCTCTGTCTCCTGGCTGCTCTCAAACACTTCTTTCCTCAAACCTCGCCTCAGTGGGGTGGTGGAGAGGGTGGGGGCTTCTTTCCCAGTAAGCCAACCTTGTACCCTTTGCTCTTGGGGCTGGGTGGTCTGGGCGGTCCTGCCCACTCCCTTGCTGTGGGCTGCCCCCGATTTGATGGTTCCCTGGGGCAGTAGTGGTCTCTTCCCCCATCCCCCTAAGGCTTTTCCATGGGGTGTGGGTGGGGAAGAGTCTGAGGAAGAAGCTCATTCCCAGTGCTTCCCAGCCAGGACTGCTGCTGTTTAACCTGCGGGGTCAGTAGAGGAGGTCAGATGGAGGATCCGAGGCCCCGGGGCTCCACTCTGCTCTTCCTCCTGCAGTCTGTGTCTCCCCAGGGTCCCTGTGGTCTCTGCCCCAAGGACAAGTGCTGGCTTCTCTGCAGTTCGGTTTTTCTCCCTGGATTTTGGCCTTCATGGTGGCCCTGTGACCACCATGAATCTCTGATAGATTCAAAAAAGTCTTGAACTTGTGACTTGTCTAGCTTGCTTTGCTGTGAAGCCAAGAGGAATGTCTTTCCAGTTCCCCATACCTGAGGAGGTGACCCAGAGTGTGTGTGCAAACCTGCAGTTCCACAGTGACAGTTTGAACTCTGAGGAGATTATTGTCCTGTCCATCTGATATGTATCATCTATTAGTGTATTCCTTATAATTTATTTCCAGCAGCTTTTAAAAAGCTAATTAGCCTCTTTTTAAAAGGCAGTAAGTAAATTCATCATATCAAGAAAAAAAGAGCAATGAATGTATTTCCTTTCAGAATCTCCCTCTGTGCTTTTGGCTGCCTCGGTCTGGAGTCAGAAGGCACCTATGGGCTGGTCAGCACTCAGACTCAAGGCAGGGAACATCTAACTCAAGCACTTGAAATTGAATGAATGAAAATATTAAGAATATAAGTCATTTGGTGAATATTAATGAAACTAAGAAATGAAAGATACTTAATAAGATATATTCAAAGTAATGAGCTTCTTAATAAGATATTTAATAAGATATATACAAATTCATAAGCTCCATTAAAAGACATTTAATTATATATATATATATATATATATATATATATATGTCAGACCCATTAACATTGCTGCTGTTAAATATGTTGATTGATATTTTTGTCTGAGTTTGATAACCTACACTGTTGCATCATTTCAAATGGAATATTATATGTATACATACAAACACATATCAACATGTAAAAATCCGTTCTAGACTGTCTAAATTATTCATTATTCATGAATGTGTACTTTGAAGGAGTTTTCTTTTTATAGATTATAAAATATAGTTGAATAAAAATGTGGATCTTGTTTTACTTGGTCTAAGTTTTCCCAAATAGATGACTTTGAAATAATGAGAGGGACCTGAACATGGGAATTCTGAGTTAGTTTACTAAAGTTTTTTATCAAATGCTTCTTTTTTTTTTTTTGGTACCTGGGATTGAACTCAGGGGCACTGGACCACCGAGCCACACCCCCTGCCCTATTATGTATTTTTTTTTTAGAGAGAGGTCTCACCAAGTTGAGAAGCGCTTGGCTGTTGCTGAGGCTGGCTCTGAACTCACGATCCTCCTGTCTCAACCTTCTGAGCTGCTGGGATCATAGGTGTGCGACTTCGCGCCTGGCACTTACCTGATGCTTTAAAATATTAAAGTACCATTTTCTCTACTCGATGCCTTTCATTCATGACACAGATCTACAGTGTTACTGATTTGTGAAGATGGTCTTGAGCGCTGGGAACCTGCCAGTGTACAGCATTGGCTCTCTAGAACCCTCAGGGTCATGTCCACACTTCATTGAAAAGCTCATGAAGCCCAGCATTTACTCTTCTCCACAATTCTTTCTTCCACACTTTGCTCAAGGGTCTTTCTCCAAGCCCATGCAGGTGCTGTTGCCTTAACTAGGTTTTCTTCTCCCTTCCGGTGTGCCCCCGACCCTTGACCCTTGCTCTTCCTCCTCACCCCCTCCTGGCTTTGACCTCACCAGCCTCAACCTCCACACCCAGCTCCCCTGACCTCTTCCCACACCTATCAGATTTGTAATTTGAAACTTACTTAATGTCATTTTTTTTTCTTTAAACTATAAGCATCAAAAGAGCACATCTGTATCTCCAGCTACCTGGGGAGCCAAGGTAGGAAGGTCATGAGATCAAGGTTAGAACTCAGTGGTAGAGCACTTTCCTAGCATGCGCAAAGCCCTGGGTTCCATCCCCAGCGGCACAAAAAATTTAAAAGAGCGGGTCAGGACTGAGGCAGTTTTGCTCTTCAGCACACCCCCAGAGCTTGGCATGGTGCTCACAGTAGGTCCTAAGTAATAATGTTTTGGCAGTTTGGGATGGGAGACACATAACTTCAATACCCTGTGCTCATTGATATGATAAACAGTGATAAAATTGCTAACATAGAAAATTAGAGTTGATCATTTCTTATTTACACATTAGTAAGTGCAATGGAAGAAGACTCATTAATGCCATGACAGCATTTAATAAAGATTTGACCATAGAAAGGGACTCAACATTGAAGACCAAGGAGAAGCCAGGTACATTACATGAGAGAAGGGATGTGCAGACCAGGCAGAGGAAGCTGGGGCAGCTGTCTGGTGAGGGTTACCGAGGAAAGCCACGCATGGCTGGAGTCCCTGGGGAAGGGTGAGTGGCACAGTAGAAACTCCCTGGAGGGGCCATAGAGGCAGGTGGGCCACCTGGTAGCACGGGGGAGAGAGAGTAGGAGTTTGGACTTGAGTGATGCTATTATAATGGATTAAGGGTTTTAGAAACATTGACTTTTGCCTGGTGAAAAGTTGGATCTTGGTGTCTAGGGTATTGAAGGATTGAGAAGAGAATTGTAGAAAATACAGTTTGTAAATTTCTGTTGTTCGTAACTGGATGGATTGTGTCTCCTTCACTGTGTTACCTGCTTAGCACCCCATTGGGCATTTGGACACATCAGGTAAATATTTGCTGAAAGCAAATGAGCATTGTGTTATTTAGGAAAAAACTTTCATTCAACAGCTATATAAATTGCAAAAGCAGGAAATACATTACTCAGTGGAATCAAACTTAATCACTTTTCTTTACTTCACAATGTGAAACTATCAAATTGGACCTAGAATATAGTCATCTTCTTCCAGGCCTTTAAAATAACTGTGGTGACTTGTTATACACATGCAGTCATCTCGTGAGAGAAATGAAACACATGTAAATTCTGTGGAAGCCTTGATGCTGATCTTATTACGGTGGTCTGAATATTCATTTTGCTTTGTTTGTTTTCCTTTGTAACACGTTTCATGCCCTTGTCATAGATAATTCAAACTTTAACACCAATTCAAAATCCAGAAGGGAATATTGAACTCTAGGCTCCCCGTCCCTCCAGGCCTTTCTGGGTTATGCTGGGTCTCACTCTCACACGCAAGCACACTGTGCTGTGGAAGGTGACATCACTGGAAATGCCAGCTATTTAGGACCTGTATTCTACTTAAAGTAAGGAATTGACATTTATAACATTTTTGTCCTAGACATGTTTAAACATTTTGTCCTACAGTCTTTTGTAAACATTTGTAATTGGTCCTACTGCTGTTTGAGAACTGAGTGTGACATTGTCACCAATAACGTTCCGGATGTGCTATGGTGTCTTGCAGGTGTGTACTGCTCCCGCTCCTGGGCATGGAGCCCCCTCAGCAGAGCCTGTTCCTGCTGGTGGACTCTGTGGATGAAGGGTGCAATGTCACTGAAGGAGAACAGACGGCCACCAGCTTATCTGGGACTGTCGCGGAACTGCTTGCTGGTCACCATGAGTTCTTCCCACCGTGGCTCCTGCTTCTCTGTTCTGCCCGAAAACAGAGTAAGGCTGTTACTAAAATGTTTACTGGTAAGCATACTTACTTACTGCCATCCGATGCTTCCACTGACGAGCAACCGGTTGTTTTCTTCCGAGAGTGAAGTGTGCAGTTGGGAATCTGGGTGTCGCCCCTGCTCCTTCTGTCACTGTTCTTAACTGTACCCTTCTAAAGGCGTGTTAAAGACAGTCCGTAGCATGTTTTAAAGCTGCTTAAGCATTAGTCTTTTGCAGAACTCTCTTCCTAACTGCCTTGGTAAAGACAGTGGCACATCCTGCATGCTGACTGCTCCGGCCTTGTAGGCCTGCCTCCCTGCTGCTCTCGAGTCACCATCAGCTGATGTCCTTTGAACTAGACTATCGTCTGAAGAGTAGTGAAGGCTCAGTGCCAGTCACTCTAGTGTTTTTCTTGGTGTCTAAACAGAGCCAGTTAAAAACCCTTTAGGATATCACTTGAAACATTTCCTTTCTCTTAACCTTTTTTTGATAAGTGAGAAAACAGAGTATATAATGCATAATGAAGATGGTCTTCTTCATTTCTATTTTTTCTTGATCTTTGTACTTTTTAAACCAACCCTAATAAAGTCACCATCATGCCGATAAATTATATGACATGCTTCCCTTTGCCCTCTGGGAGGTAAAGGAGTGTAAACAAAGGACCTCTCCCAGGACTTGGGTGTAGCTGGGCAGACACTGACTGGGGTCATGACGAATGGGCCATGTCATTTTTGAGCAGTTCTGAGCATGTGGCAGCATGGCAGACTCCCCTTCATCTGTTCAGTGGCTTTATCACCAGCTTCGCTCCAGCTCAGCTCCTGCCTCAGGTCCCTGCTGCCAGTGCAGCACTGCAGGCTTCCAGGGGAGTCATTATTTTGGGGTGTTGATAAGAGTTGAGGGTTAAAATGATAATGGCTAACCCTGATGTCACACGACCTGCCGAGCATGTACACGTGAGTTGAAGGCCCCTGGCCTGCATTCCCATGCCTTTCTCTCCTCTTGTTCTTTAGCCCATATGTCTATACTATGTGTTTTCATAGTTCACACCTACAAGACACTCCATGTACCAGCTCAGCTCTACCAGGCGCTAGCTCTGTGACCTTGCACAACTTGCTTAATGCCCCGTATGCCTGTTTCCTCATCTACAAAGTGGAAATTACATAAAGTTAAATCACAAATTACGCGTGAAGCACTTAGGATATTGCCTACCTAATACGTACTAAGTGCTTCATGAATGTTGCTATTATTTTCATTTTATTCACATATTTAGCCAGTGACTTTTGAACTCTAATTATTACTGTTCATAAATCTAGGTCATTGGTTTCAACTGGTACATAGTATCTCTTCCTGGGAATAAATCTCCTATTGTTTTTCCATTATCCCATTCATGGACATTTAGATTGTTTCCAGTGTCACTGAGTGACCATCCCTAATCAGAAATACTCCAGAATCCAAAAGCTGTTGAAATGTGGACATGACGCCACAAGTGGAAACTTCTACAGCATGAAACCATTTTATCAACAAAATTATTAAGCACATTATATTAAATTACTTTCAGGCAGTATAAAACATAAGTGGATTTTGTGTTTAAATGTGGGTCCTATTCCCCACAATATCTGATTATGTACATTCAAATAGTCCAAAACCTGAAAAAATTCAAAATTCAAAAATTCTGGTCCCAGGCATTTCAGAGAAGGTATGTTCAACCTGTATTGCAAAAACTGCTTTAGGAATGTGCTTATATATGGCTTCATGTGCACATGTGCTAAAGATTTAAATCTATTCAAAGTTAGAATTGGAATTGCTGGGTCATAGAACATATACATTGTGAACGCTACTTAATTTTATCAAATAATAGCTAGTGTGCTTGAAATAATTGACGCACCTACCAATATCATGAGATTTGCCGTTTCTCTACATGCTCATCAGCCAACATCTGTTATTTGCAGATCTGCTCTTATCTGCTTTAGGGCATCTGCACTGATAGTCTTCTGACTAGAATGTTCTTCCCTTGACTTCTTACTGCCTTCTTACTTGGACCCCTGCTCAATATCAGTTGCACACAAGCTTCTGATTGTATTTCTATTCTAGTTTTCTTCTCTCCCCGGCTACATGGTCATAAACTCACTCTCTGGTTTTATTTCTTCATCTATCCGATTACTGTTTAAAATCTGTCTATATTTTATATTTGTTTACTTAGCAGTCTGTCTTCTCCACTAAGATATAGTCAACATGAGAACAGGAATTGTTCCTTGATCCCCAACCTCCAGAACAGAGCTTGGAACTAAACTGCCATGCCTTGATTTGCAAATAAGTATCTTCTTTCAACTGTGTTTAGTGGAACAAGCAGTGAACTAGGAATCGGGTGGAGCTAGATTATAGTCAGATTCTACCTATCCTACCCTTCTCCTCCCCAGTATACTAATTGTTAAAAATGGTGGGCTTTGTATGGACATTTACCACCTCTGCTGTTGGTAAATTTTTAATTTGGGAGTAAAAGTTAAGAACATTACTGAGGTTATTAATAAATACCATAAAATTGCTTTCTAAAAAGACCATATTATATTCCTTCCTGAAAGTATGTGTGTTGCTTTCTTTGTATTTCCACCAGTATTGAGTTATATCTTTTTTTTTAGTATTTGTTAATTTGCCACATGAAAAATGTTATTTTATTTGGACTTCTTGTTTACTGTTTAACTGTTCACTTATTTATCAGTTTGTCTTTTTTTTTCTTTATAATTTTTGTTAATCTTTCTATCAAGAAGTTAGTGATTTTTGTTATTTATTATTTTTAAGGTTTTTATTTCATATGCTTTTATTCTTTGTAACTATTTTCCTCAGCTTTTAAAAACTGTTAGTAATTATTTTGAAATCTGTTATATGTAAGCTAATTATTAGCCTTTATATTACATATTCTTTTATGTTTGATTATGTTATTCATATGGATATTTTGTCCTAAGTGGTGCAAAATAGGGATCTAGGATTTAAACGATTGGTTGGACCATACATTTTCTCAGCATCTTCTTGATTCCCTTTACTGTTGCTTGGCAAATTGAAAGAATTAGCCCATTCAAAACACCAAAAATTTACTTACAAAAATTTTTGCACATATTGATTCTGTCTGATTATAAAAGTGACCCATGCTTACATAGAAACATTTTAAATGACAACATACACCAGCATTGATTCCATCACTTGGAGATAAAACACTGATTTGAGCACTCTAACACCTTGTGTTCTTAGTGTTCCTACCTGGTTGAGCCCATGCTTTGTACCAGTTTGATTTCATGCTTTTTAAATTTAACGTTCATGAGCCTGTTAGCTACTTTTTGCTGTCTTTTTAATGGCTATTTTCATAGCTGCCTGATTTATCTGTTACATACTGGAATTCTCTTAGCTTCCTTTGGTCCCACTGTCAGGTTTGACTTTCATGTTCCCCAGCTGCAGGTGCTCTTGGGGACATGTGGCAGTTGCAGTGGGTACCAGTTTCTAAGCAGGGGTGCAGATCCACTCACCACCTCCAAATAAAATCAGCCCCTGAGCAGGAGCAGAAGTGACTCAGTAGCAAAGTGGCCCACAGGTTCTGTTCCTCTGGAAATTGTGATCATTTTCAGCCTCATCTTGTAATTATTGAAAGTGCTTTAATATCAGTATACTAAATTGTATATGTTCATAATCAGGGATTACATGTGTATTTATCAAAAGTCACAATTAAAAACGTTATTGTTTTTAGTACCTTTAACTAAAATTTTTTAAATGGTCGATTAATAATCTTATTTCTGTTTTAATTAATAAATAACTTCTTATTAGTGACAAGCATAATTTCTTCTGAATTCATATTCTCAATGTCTAGATCTGAGGGAGATTTATTTTTCATATTGCAGACATTTTGCATCTATTCTACATAATTAATTCCATCCCTGCTTCCTCCCTGTTATCTCCATGTCAAACATTCGCTTCCTCTCAAAACTTTCTATTCCTATTTTCACCAAAACAGCAAACTTCAAAGTCAAACAGAGCTATTAGAATCCTGGTTCTCTACTTATTCTGTGCTTTAGCTTCCTCATTTTAAAATAAGCACTCTGGTGGCCCAGGGCTGTCAGGGAAGGCGTGTGTGCTGAGTGCTCCAAGTGCTTCCTTGAAGAGTGGACTCTCACAGAGCATGTTTCCTTCCACGCCATTCTGCCAAACCTGTTCCTGTGGAGGTTGAGCTTGGGTTGTTTTAATTATGTCACATTTTAATCCTGAGATCTTAATTAGCTTGAACTATAGATACTTACTCATAATGGGTGATATGATCGTTCTTGTGACTCAGACCATAGGTTCAGCACGTTGTATTTAAAACACTGTATAACATATAGGATACTATTTTAGTACATTTTTTATTAGTGATGTGTCAGGTGTTTTCCTTTTTATTTTAAATTGTTTTTTAATGTATTTCTGAAGTCAAAAGCACCCAGACACATAGGACAGGGTTTGGAGGCTGTCACCTCATTTCACTGTGAATGCCTGTTGCTGTAAATTTCTAGGCATGTTTTAACTCCTCCTCAGTTTAAGTAGCGTTGTCTTTTTTTTTCCATAAGTAAAATTTGTATTTTGAGATTATTTTTGTTGAGGATTTAATGATCACTTGTGTGTATATAAAATCATAGATTCTATTTTTTTACATAGATTTGGGCTGTGCAAATTTGTTATTTCCTCATGTTTCATTTTGGTAGGTTATGTTTTCCAATAAATATGTCCATTTCATCTAAATACTTAAAGCTTAGTATCACAGAATTGTCTAACAGTTTTCTCTAAAAATCAAATTTTTAATCTTTCCGTGATCTCTCTGTCTGTCCTGTTGGCAAAGCCAGACAGCAGTAATGCCTGCTTGGGCTCTTCCTTCCCCACAGTCCCCCCAACCCCATAATCGGTCCTGTTAGTAGTCCCAAGGTCATCCTTCTTCTTTATGTTTGCTGCTGCTGCCACCATGATTGTCAAACCCTCTGGGCCTCTCAGCTGGAATATCCCAGCTTCTCTGAAGGCTGTGGCCTCTACTCTTGACTGGATGCAGCTCCTCCCTGGAGATGTTGGGATGGTCCTTCACAATGCAGACCTGGTCACACTGCTGCTTCACCAAGTTCATGTGCTCTGCAGCTGCTTCTTCTGGAAGGCAAATATACAGTTGTCTAAGGAATTCATGTCTGTAGATCATGAATGAAAATCATGATCAAAATGAAATTATGGTGCCCTTTAAAGAACTTAAAGTTTTAAATAGCTGAAACTAGTGTAATTTTAGGTTGATGTGAATTTTATTATGTGGCTTTGTTACTACAAAGCTAAAGTTTTGTAAGCATAATTTGACCAAGTTGCATCTTAATTAGTTCAAGCTGTTTATTGGCAGTCCAAGTTTTAATTATTTTAATTTGATAATGTGTAAAATAATGTAATTCAGAGGCAATGGCAGGTGATATTCTAATTGGGTGTAAATATTCAACCCCTTATTTGAGGCTAATGTATTTTCAGGTATATGGTAGAGCTATATCCGTGATTTGTATGAAAAAGATCATGTAAAAACAAACTGTACTTGTGTGTCTGCTCCTCCTCATTTGGAAGTAAGTTTAGAACATCTTCAAAAGGCGCTATGCGAGCATGTCAGGCTGTGACGCTTGGTGAGGCTCCTGTGGTGGGGTCCAGAGGCCTCAAGCCACTAAAAGCCACTTGCCGATGAGAAAATGAGGTTATTTTTCTGTCATCCTTGTGTTTTTGCAGAAAGAAAAGAAAACTGATTTACATACTGCCATGTATTAATAGATTTATTAGCATTAATTAGTTGATTTTTTTATTAGTTTGTTGTAAATTGAAAACATTCTCTTTAAAGATAAGGCTGCTTCCATAATACTTCTCAACTGAAGACATCTGCTTTTTTGTTCTTCTTCCAGGTTTTCGAAAAATCAGTTTGGATGACCTTCGGAAGGCATACATTGTCAAGGATGTGCAGCAGTACATTCTTCATCGTTTAGACCAGGAGGAAGCTCTGCGGCAGCACCTCACGAAAGAAACTGCCGAGATGTTAAATCAACTGCACATTAAAAGCAGTGGATGTTTTCTTTATCTAGAACGAGTTTTAGATGGAGTTGTGGAAAATTTTATTATGTTAAGAGAGATTCGTGACATCCCAGGAACTCTGAATGGTCTGTATCTCTGGCTTTGCCAGAGACTTTTTGTAAGAAAACAGTTTGCAAAGGTTCAGCCAATTTTGAATGTCATTCTTGCAGCCTGTCGACCTTTGACTGTCACAGAGTTATATCATGCAGTATGGACCAAAAATATGTCCTTGACTTTGGAGGACTTTCAGCGCAAGCTAGATGTCCTCTCCAAACTTCTTGTCGATGGACTGGGAAATACTAAGATCCTGTTTCACTATAGCTTTGCTGAGTGGCTTCTGGACGTGAAGCACTGCACTCAGAAGTATTTATGTAATGCGGCAGAAGGACACCGAATGCTGGCCATGAGCTACACCTGTCAAGCCAAGAATTTGACACCATTGGAAGCACAAGAATTCGCACTGCATTTAATTAATTCAAATTTGCAGTTGGAGACAGCTGAATTAGCCCTGTGGATGATATGGAATGGCACGCCTGTCCGAGACTCTCTGTCCACTTCAATACCCAAGGAACAAGAAGTGCTGCAGCTGTTGGTTAAAGCTGGTGCTCACGTCAACAGTGAGGATGATCGCACGTCGTGCATAGTCCGACAAGCCTTGGAAAGAGAGGATTCTATCAGGACACTATTAGATAATGGAGCTTCGGTGAATCAGTGTGATTCAAATGGGAGAACGTTATTGGCTAATGCCGCCTACAGTGGCAACCTTGATGTGGTGAATTTGCTTGTCTCTAGGGGAGCAGACTTAGAGATAGAAGATGCTCATGGACATACATCTCTCACCCTAGCTGCTAGACAAGGTCATACCAAGGTGGTTAACTGTTTGATTGGGTGTGGAGCAAACATCAATCACACTGATCAAGATGGTTGGACAGCATTAAGATCTGCGGCTTGGGGCGGCCATACTGAGGTCGTGTCTGCACTGCTTTATGCTGGCGTAAAAGTGGATTGTGCCGATGCTGACAGCCGAACAGCGCTGAGAGCGGCAGCATGGGGAGGCCATGAGGATATTGTTCTCAACTTGCTACAACACGGTGCTGAGGTTAACAAAGCTGATAATGAAGGTAGGACTGCTTTGATCGCAGCAGCATACATGGGACACAGAGAGATCGTGGAACACCTGCTGGACCACGGAGCAGAAGTCAATCACGAGGACGTGGATGGCAGAACCGCGCTCTCTGTCGCTGCCCTTTGCGTGCCTGCAAGTAAAGGGCACGCGTCTGTTGTTAGCCTTTTGATCGACCGAGGTGCTGAAGTGGATCACTGTGACAAGGACGGCATGACTCCACTGCTGGTAGCTGCCTATGAAGGACATGTGGATGTGGTGGACTTGCTTCTGGAGGGAGGGGCTGATGTGGATCACACAGACAACAATGGCCGGACACCCCTGCTGGCAGCAGCTTCCATGGGTCATGCTTCAGTAGTAAACACACTTCTGTTTTGGGGTGCAGCTGTGGACAGCATTGATAGTGAAGGCAGGACGGTCCTCAGCATAGCTTCGGCACAAGGAAATGTTGAGGTGGTGCGCACTCTGCTGGACAGGGGGCTGGACGAGAATCACAGAGACGATGCCGGCTGGACCCCTTTGCACATGGCAGCCTTTGAAGGTCACAGGTTAATATGTGAGGCGCTCATTGAACAAGGTGCTAGAACAAACGAGATCGACAACGACGGCCGGATCCCCTTCATCCTGGCTTCACAAGAGGGTCATTATGACTGTGTTCAGATATTATTGGAAAATAAATCCAACATTGATCAGAGAGGTTACGATGGAAGAAATGCACTGCGGGTCGCTGCGTTAGAGGGACACAGGGACATTGTCGAGTTGCTGTTCAGCCACGGCGCTGATGTGAACTACAAAGACGCAGATGGCAGGCCCACGCTTTATATCCTGGCCTTAGAAAACCAACTGACGATGGCCGAGTATTTTTTAGAAAACGGTGCAAACGTGGAGGCGAGCGATGCTGAGGGAAGGACAGCGCTCCACGTTTCCTGCTGGCAGGGCCACATGGAAATGGTGCAGGTGCTCATTGCTTCCCACGCCGACGTCAATGCTGCGGACAACGAGAAGCGCTCCGCTCTGCAGTCGGCAGCCTGGCAGGGCCACGTCAAAGTCGTGCAGCTGCTGATCGAGCACGGGGCCGTGGTGGACCACACCTGCAACCAGGGTGCCACTGCTCTCTGCATCGCGGCGCAGGAGGGGCACGTGCACGTGGTCCAGGTCTTACTAGAGCACGGTGCTGATCCTAACCACGCCGACCAGTTTGGACGCACAGCTATGCGTGTTGCCGCCAAAAACGGACATTCTCAAATCATTAAATTATTAGAAAAATATGGTGCCTCTAGTCTGAATGGCTGTTCCCCATCTCCTGTTCACACAATGGAGCAGAAACCTCTCCAGTCGGTGTCTTCGAAAATGCAGTCGCTCACAATCAAGTCCAACAGCTCCAGCAGCACCGGCGGCGGGGATGCGCAGCCGTCCCTGCGCGGCCTGCCCAACGGGCCAGCGCACGCCTTCAGCTCGCCGTCGGAGTCTCCCGATTCCACCGTGGACCGGCAGAAGTCCTCCCTGTCCAACAATTCCCTGAAGAGCTCCAAAAACTCATCCTTGAGAACGACTTCCTCCACAGCGACAGCGCAGACGGTGCCGATGGACAGCTTCCACGGCCTGTCCTTCACGGAGCAGATCCAGCAGCACTCGCTGCCGCGCAGCCGCAGCCGCCAGTCCGTCGTGTCCCCGTCCTCCACCACGCAGTCCCTGGGACAGAGTCACAATTCCCCGAGCAGTGAGTTTGAGTGGAGTCAAGTGAAGCCCAGCCTGAAGTCCACCAAGGCAAATAAGGGGGGGAAATCGGAAAATTCCAGCAAATCCGGGTCAGCTGGGAAAAGGGCGAAGCAGAGCAGTTCTTCACAGCCAAAGGTCTTAGAGTACGAAATGACCCAGTTTGACAAGAGAGGCCCCGCGGCCAAGTCTGGGACAGGTGTGCCCCCTAAACAGACGCCAGCGGACGCCCAGTGCAAAAGCCTGGTGCCCTCCGCCCAGCAGCAGCTCGTGGTCCACCAGCAGGGCGGGGAGCAGAAGAGGAGAAACGGGATCCTGACGAACCCCAACTACCACCTCCAGAGCAACCAGGTGTTCCTTGGTAGGGTGCCAGTCCCACGGACAATGCAGGACCGAGGGCACCCCGAGGTGTTGGAGGGCTATCCCTCCTCGGAGACAGAACTCAGCCTTAAGCAAGCCCTGAAGCTTCAGATCGAGGGTGCCGACCCCAGCTTCAGCTACAAGAAGGAAACGCCATTGTGAAAGGTGGGACCTGGTCAGCCTAAAGCATCTCCACCCCGAAGTTAGCTCCCTTGGCTGGGAGCTCCCCCTGCCTCCGCAGGGCCACTCCACCTTCCAGTCTCCCAGCCAGACCTGCCCCGCCCCCTGGAGTGGAGTCCTCCCCACTTGTCACCCCGCCCCCCCTCCCTGCAGGTGACCCGCTGCGCATAGGCCTGGCACAGCCACATTCATTCTCCTACTGTGTTCTCGGTTGGCGTCCCCACCTGAATTGTAGGCTCTGGGAGGGTTAATGCTCTGCCCACTGCTATCTTATGTCCCTGGAGTAGTGTCTGAACAGTCTAGTTTCCAGGAGGAAGTGGACATGCCCTGCAAGGATCCCAGGGGAGCACTCTTCCCTGCGTGTTCAGTTACCCCTCTTGGGAGAGGCTGATAGGTGAGGCTGTTCTATATATTCATCCTGCTGCTTGGAAGAACAGTGTTTGTAATGCATAGTAGATAGTTGGCCAATACTAACTCTGTTCCTCACTCAGAAAGAAGTTTACTCAGTAGAAGGTAGTTTTTTATTATGACAGATCTCTTGAGAATCTCCCAAAGTCATATTTTCACATACTGAGAAGTGGGAAGTGGATGGTTGGCAAGGTGGGTGTGTGGAGCCCGTTGTATTGAGGTAGAACAGTACTTTTAATTGTAAAAACCTTTCCCCTTCCCACAAAAGGTACTTTGCTGATTATATAGGGGAAGTTGGTGGGAAAATAGGTCTACAGTTTTTATGTTACAGATATTTTTTCAGAATCCTATTTCCCATGTTGGAGAAAAATCTGAAGATTTCATTAGGAATCTTTTCTGGTTCATATTAAGCTACATTGATCCTACTTTGCTTTTCCTTTAGCAAAATTATACTCTAGCAAATTGCAGTCTCTTTCTTGCTTCTTTTGTCTTTGGGACTATCTTCCAATAATAAACATCCTTCAGTTTGAATTTATGGACGACCAGGCAAATGTCACTCAAAAATAATCTGTATAAAATAGATAATTCATTCTCCACTGTAGCTTATTTTAAAAATAGGTACAGCCCTCCAGCTGTCATTCATGTCTTTTGTAAAGGCACAAGTATAAACATATATTAAATACAGTAAACCACATGAACTAAGGTAGATGTATTATGGAGCCTTTTAAATTAAATAATGAATCTTTAGACTATTAAACTTGTACTTTATGTGATAAATATTTATAGTTAGATTGATATGCATATTCTTATGTAGAGTCTTAAAACTAAATGTAGTTTCATGGTAAGTGTAATGTGGACATTCACTCTTTCTTATTTAATGTTTGCCTAGTTCCTGCTCTGAGAGACGGAGACTTTGTGGTTGGAGTGGCTCTTCACCTTCCGGGATAAGAACATAAACCGCCAATGGTGTGCTGAGAGAGAACGAAGAATGTGCTATCTGCAGTACAGTTACCTTAATTACTGTAATGTGCCTAAATAGTAAGGCTGCCTTCTCAGTGTAACCCTCTGTGCTTAAGAACTTTCATTTTGTGTGCTTTGTATTCACTACACAAAATAAGCACTTTTTTAAAAGATGCAGATGTATACTACAGTTCCCTGATAAAGCTGAAAACAATTTTGAATAAAGTATTTTAAGTTAAGATTTGATAAATGTGCATGTGCCATGGTCAAATATATATGAAAGGCAGTGTTCTTTGTATTTATTTTCTTTTTTGTGGCAAAAGAACCTTATGCGCAGTGTTCCGGTCACATTTGCATTGTAGTGCGTGGCCTGTTTCCTGTATTTTTAAAATGTCACTCAATAAAATGAATCTTGCAACTGTTTTATGTTCACTGCCCCTTCAGCATTGGCTAAAATGAGTTTCTGTATGAATGCCACGTCTAGGTGAAAAAAAAATTTTTTTGACAGATTCTCAAAAAGTATATAATTTCTAGTAGTTTAGGGAGCTGCTCCATGTAGTTTAAATCTGGATTGTCCCAGTAGGATGCGCCCCATGTCTGGCCCAAAGTGTCCAAACGAGCAAACAAGTCGGCAGAACAGAGTTCCATTTCCTTCCGGGATGCTGTTTGCCTCCCGCTCGCTGTCCTTCCACCTCCAAGACCACAGACTCATTCCCGAGGCATGAAAATTCTCAGGGACAAAGCCATGCCTCAGTCGCATGTGTGCGCAGAGGGAGGTGCACCTCTCTCTCATCTGAGGGTAGAATTTTTGATCCCTGAACAATTCATTGACTACCCTCATCTCTTCTTTGCAGCAAAACAAAATGTAATTTATCAGTGTGAAGGTTTATGTGGCTTCTCTCTCAGCTTCTCTACTTTTAAATCACTGCATGACCACAATAGCCCCTCTCAAAATCAACTGGGTCCATGCCCTGGCTCAGTTGGATGGATACTCTTGATGACTGTGGTGTGTTCTGTCAGTCCTTCATGGATGATGCCTCTAACCTTGTCATAGCACATGCGTATTTCTTATTATTTAACGAATTGTTGGATTTGCACTTTCCTATCCATGTGCTCTTTCCCGTGTTCTTTGGGCAGTTGCATTCAGGATGGCCAGGTCGCAAGATGAAGGGAGAAGTCTGTGACCAAGGAAAATAAATTTGGTGCCTATGAGCATGTGACCCACAGCCCTAGCCTCCTGGAGGCCCCCGACACCAGTGGGGCCAGAGTGGAGGAATCGTGCATCTGTCTGGGAAGGTCAGCATAATGATTTGGCAACCACAGATGTGGATTTGATCTCTTAAGTGAGTCCTGTTAGTCCTACAGACCCCAGAAATTCTGTTCTCTTGATAAAGAGAATATGTGCCCTTGATAAAGAGGAATGAGGAAAGAGAATTTGGAGACAGCACAAACCATTGCTACTACTGAAGAAAAAAATCTTTCGAACATTTTAATCACAGAGATCAGTGGTGTCATCGTAAATGAAGGACACATGTAATGCTTTGTTCATGGGAACAGAAATGTACAACAGATGATGAATGTTTCCCACTTGAATCTGTGTATAAGGCTTTCTTACTTTTGCTTTTTAAAGTCAGTACGACCCATTGGCCTGTGTCATTCATAAATCATAATCAGAGCAAGGAGAAGAGAAGTTCAATCGAAATTAAGGTGACATGGCAATATTGATAACTCGAATGTGAATGTTTCAAGTATCAGACTCTTGTCCCTATGGGACATATATTAAATACACTTAATAGGACTCTTGCAAAGTAGCCTTAAAAGTGTTAATGATGCTATTGATGCCAACATGCTGTTATTGGAACCCACTGTCCTCATGTCTCATGTAGTACATTTGCATCACTTTAGAGTACAAAGCTCTCATTTCTTATTAGGTGTATTTTTCTTCAGAAAGAGAACCTTGAAAGCTGCCAGTTTTTCTATTAACCTTGAATTATTGAAATTGTATTTATTTAATATTATTGTTTTTACAAAATGCACCTTGTGGCCAAAGGGCAAAGAGATGGCTCATTGTGTTGGGAATTTTTTAAAGAGCTAAATGTTTTCACATCCATCCTTTTTACATTTGGAACAGTTGGTAGGAAGGGAGCCAGTTGGGAAAATGTGATTTTCCTAAGAATTCCTCTGGATGTTTTTTATATAAATGATGTTTTGGAAAGGGACTCAGTGGTATAAGAATGATAAGGGTGCCGGAGGCGCCCTGCTTCGCTTATTTGTTTCTGTGGGGGAGTTCAGACCATAAGTGAAAAATGGCCTCTGCTCCATTAAAAAGTAGGAACAGTCCTGCAAATATGAAGGTCCTAAATAGCTATTTTTGAAATTAAAAAGTTTAAATTTTGTAAATCGGCTGTTGCTACTCCATGACTTAGGATGCCATGTGCTTAAAACATTTTTATTGCATTCCATCACACCATCCCTGAAGCCAGAGCGATGGTACGGGAAGTGAAAAAGTACAGGAACGGAAAATGAAAACCTAATGTTTCTAGGAAAGGTTTGGGGAGGAAAATTAACCAGAAATCAGTGTATACTGCAATGCACAGCCAGTGTCTCGTCCGCACCCCACAAGAATCCTCACCAAAAACCACTCCTTTGACAGCAGAAGTCAGAGCCTCTCCGTGTTTTGGCTGTGCAGGTGTTCATTCTGCTGGACGTCCTCCATTCACACTTTCTGCAGATGTAGTTGCAGACAAATGCTTTCTTTTTATTTTTCCCTTGGTTTGGGGTATGTAAATAGCCTAAAATGTACATTGAATTTCACATTGTAAAAGTTTTATTTTATTCCTTGTATTATATTATGCAAAAATCCCTATGTATATGAAAGTGCATAATAAATATATTTGCATTACAGAAGAGATCTTGTTTTAATTTTGTTATTGAACCAGTAGAATATCCACAATGTAATTGTAATAAAAAGAACCCTTAGTTTTTTAAAGTTAATATTTTAAAATATTGAGTGAATTAATTTGGGAATATTTTCAAAGAAAAAATGAAATGGACACTGTCCAAAGAGAGAAAAACAAAAAAGATTTAACCTTTATATAGTCCCAGAGCTTCTATAACAATTTACTCTTCTTTCCCCTCCCTGCACTGAGACATTATATCTCACCATGTCAAATGTGATACCTTCGAGAACTGCAATAGTCAAATAAATTGTGTACACATGCACTCCTTGGTTGTTAGAATATCACAACAACCTTACGCTGAAGAGTTTTTAAGTTTTTTTGCAAAAATGACCATTTTCCAAATAGGATTTATGTGCTCATCACTCAGAAAATTTGAGTTCCAGCCTGTTGCCCCTACCAGGACACAAACGTGCCCGTCTGCACTACCTGTGAGTGTACATCTCCACCTGTGTATGTGGTGTGCTTTTCCCCACATCCTCACCAACACTTAATATTATGTGTATGCTTGATAATTGCCTTTCTGACTGGAATGAGAGGAAATCTCAATGCAGTTTTTCAGATTGTACAGATCTTCTAGCCCTCAAAAGAAAGGCTTCAAAAAAGGCTAACGACATTTTCTATTTAGTAATTTTATAATTCTAGTGTTCTGCAATGATTACCGTAATTGCATTCTATATAAACTTGTTTGGTTAATAAACATCTTAATTCAAATGTGTTTAAAAACAGAACATCTAAACACAAATGGTAGTGTACGTAGAAGAGTTTATTAGTTATAGCCATACATAATATTGGGGTTCATTTTGATATGATCATACATGGAATAAAATTTGTTCCAATTCAGCCCCCAGTTCTTATACCCTTTCCCTCTCCATCTTTCCACCACTCTGTTTCCTTTCCTCTACTCTACTGGTGTTCCTTTTACTTATTTGTAGGTTTTTTAAAAATTAGTGCTTTATAGATACACATAAAGGGTGAAATTCACTCTGGTATATTCATATGTGTACATTGCATAATTTGGTCCATTCCACTGTTCCTCCATTTTCCCATTCCTTGTCCCTCCCCATCAAGCCCCTTCCTCTACAGTTCTGTTTTCATGGAGTCTCCCCTTATTTTGGTCTAACTTCTGCATATGAGAGAAAACATTTGACCTTTGGCTTTCTGAGTCTGGCTTCTTTCATTTAGCATGATGTTCTGCAGTTCATCCATTTACCAGCTAATGCCATAATTTTATTCATCTTAATGGCTGAGTAAAACTCCATTGTGTATATATACCACATTTTCTTAATCTATTCATCTGTTGACAAGCACCCAGGAATTGTGCTACTGTAAACATCGATGAGGCTGTATCACTGCAGTATGCTGATTTTAATTCTTTTGGATAAATACTGAGGAGTGGCACAGCTGGGTCTTATGGTGGTTCCATTCCTAGTCTTTTCTTGAAGACTCTCCATACTGCTTTCCAGAGTGCTTGTATTAATTTGCAGTCCAACCAACAATGTGTGCCTTTCCCCCACATCCTCACCAGCAGTTACTATTATTTGTATTCTTGATAATTGCCTTTCTGATTGGAATGAGAAGAAATCTCAGTGTAGTTATGATTTGCATTTCCCTGAATGCTGGTCATTTGTATTTCTTTTGAGAAGTCTCTGTTTAGTTCTTTTGCCCGTTTATTATTGGGGTTATTTGAGGATTTCTTGTTCATTTGATTGTTCAGTTTTTGAGTTCTTTATATATTCTGGCTATTAGTCCCCTGTCTAAGGAGTAAGTGGCAAAATCTCCCCTTCTGTTGGCTCTCTCCTCTGAACAGAAGCTTATTGAGTCTTGGTTTTCTTTTGTATGCTTTAAGAGTCTTGTTAAGGCAGACAGTGCCAATGCTAATATGTTGGAGTGTTGGCCCTGTGTTTTCTTCTAGTGGTTGTGGAGTTTCTGATCTAATCCATAGGTCTTTGATCCATTTTGAGTTAACTTTTGTGCAGAGAGAGGTAGAAAGAGAGAAAGAGAGAGAAGGATATCTAGTTTCATTGTTCTACACGTGGATATACAGTTTTTCTAGCACCATTTGTTTAAAAAGCTACCTTTTCTCCAAAACACATTTTTGGCATTTTTGTTGAGTAGCAGATGACTGTATCTATGTGGACTTATTTCTGTGTCTTATATTTCATTGGCATTCATTTCGTTTTGATGCTAATACCATGCTGTTTTTGTTACTGTGGCTCTGTAGTGTCATTTGAGGTTCTATATTGTGATACCACCAGCATTGTTCTTCTTACTCAGGACTGCTTTGGCAATTCTGGGCCTCCTATTCTTCCAAATGGATTTTAAAACTTGTTTTAGTTCTATGAAAAATATCATTGTTAATTTTATGGGAATTGCATTGAATGTGTATCCTGCTTTTGGTAGTATGGACATTTTGATAAGATTAATCTTGCCTATTTGAGCAGTGGGAGGTATTTCCATCTTCTAAGGTCTTCTTTGAATTTTTTCT